TAAGCTTAAGGCTTTAGGAACACGGCGAAGCAATGCTGGTCCTTCCGAGGGTGCCTCGTGAGAAAATAAATTAAAAGACTCGGCACACCCTAAGCCCTACCCTAAACCTCTCAAGGACGCTTATGCTATACCCCCTTAGAACCAAACTAACAATCCTAATGAGAGTAATTATAGTGTGGGTGTGGGGGTATGAACTTGGAGTGTGGTGATACTCGGTTCTTGAGTTGTGGGCTCTAGGGTTGAGGGCTCGGATTAAGAATCCAGGGCTCAGGCGTTCAAAGAGTTGAGGATTGAAGACTTCATTTGGTACTCGGGTTGCGGAAATTAATCTAGTAGTTACGTAGGTTACTCTTTTGGAGAGTATATGATAATTAGGTGCTTGGACCCTTGAGGCCTTAGGGTTTAAGAATTGACGGACTTCTATGCTCAGGATGTCGAGGTCGGATTGTCGAACTGCAGCAGAGAGTGACTTTTGATTGGTACTGCTGACCGTGAGGATTATCACCAAATGTTGTGGTACATAACAAAAGTTAAAGGTTGTGGTACAAAACAAAAGTTGAAGGTTGCTTACTCTACTACTAAGAATGTGATGGTGCTTGCGTGTCCCAAGTTTTGCCCGTTCATAGGCCAACCAGAGTGCATGTGCCAAGCTGCATGTTGCACAACCAAGCTATCCAGCTCAAAAGAAACCTATATAGTAAAAGCCAGAAAGTTGGAATATGATTATCCTAAACCCTTAATGGTAAATTATAGGGTATCCTACCCTGAAACCATATTCCAACTTTCTGGAGTTCCCTTTAAAATCGAAGAGCCGCAACCTGGCACCTGAGAAGAGAAAGAACGGGGTCATGCTCAATGATATTAGCGTGACTGTGGTTGCATTAGGGGCTGGCCGACTACTTGGCCGCATTTATGATTATAGTGGTTCCAATATCTATATTGCATGCCCCCCCCTCCCTACCCTCACACGCTGCCTCGCATCGCGACCTGGGTAGAGGTTAGGAGAGAAAATGATCGCGTAAACATAAACGCAGGCCCTAGACCCTAACCTTAAACTTGACTTTCGAAGGTCATTCTCCGATCAGGGTACTGTATTTGAACGTTTGCAGACATGAGCACGGACTAAAGCTACAACTACAACAAGTTGGCAATATCCTGTTGAGGATTATCCGTGCATCTTGCGGCCAGTGTGTCTGTTGCCAGGAATGCAAGTATGGCTATTCCTATCATAGCAGGCTATATCCAAATTAGGATTAGCACTCTTGCCAGATCTGAATGCAGTGCGAATCCAAACAAGCGTTCGAGCAACCTCGAATAGACAATGGCCACATTCGAAACAGCGGCCCCCAGTAAATTAGGTCTGGGCAGCAGGGTCTTCGTGGGTGTCCAACTACAGAAAGAGAAGGGCGTCTAGGGTGCGTTTTGCTCTCCCGTTTATCTTGGAGCGGGAAAAGGAAGGGGAGGTTCACTTCCCGTTTGGCCGAGTGGCCGTTGATGAGCACGAGCTCATCTCCTTCCTGCAAGGTATCCTTGCAAGATGTCGGCTGAGGAGGTTAGAGTTTAGGGTGTGCCCACATCCTACCAGATCGCGCCATTAAGAACCACAAAAACGATCATGGGATCCCTAAGTTGATTTAAGGCATCCTGGAAGATCTGGGTTGGGCCTCAGGGTCAAGGGTTCTTGTACCTTATTTGGAGTTTCTTAAAATAAGGATCCTACTATTTAGGGTACTACATTAGCGTCCCCTCTTTTCGGAAACTCCCATATGGTGTAATATGGTCATTGCAGGTGTTGCTGTTTGCTCATGCTTACTACTGAATATTGCAGAGTTTTTTGTGTAGGAGAATAGCTATGCCATGGTTGTGATCGCAGGAGAATCTATACGGAAGCCTTCTTACAACTGGCCACGAACATCCGAGTGCACAAGCTGTGGGGATGCAACTGTGTGCTTGAGAAGAAGGGGCATCCGGCTGTATGCCTATGTAGCAGAATCCTCAGTATCAGGACAAACATGCCTACTGCTCACCGAACCAGTAACAACAAAATCTGCTCGATGGTGGTGTGAGGATCACCAACGTACTAACACTACAGATCAAAAGAGCAATCATGCAGCCAACTCTAAAAAAAGTTGCCAGCAACCTGCTTCTCTGAGTTCATAAAGGTGGTTGTCAACATTATGGTCCTTTTTTATGGGTCCTTGTTCTAATACGGCACCTAATGTTTGGGGTAGCCAATAAGGGACCACAATTTTGACAACCACCCAATAACATCACCCTATGACAAGACCCCAGGCTGCAACCCCGACAGCAAAACTCTGACAGCCCTGCCAACAGGGCACTACTTGGAGGTTTATGGGTGGTTATAAGTGGAGTTAGGAGTCCCATACTATGGGTTATGATCATAGGTACCCTACTTATAACTCCATTTGTAATTACCCATGAACCTCCAAGTAACAAGATGTGCAACAACCTTCTACAATCGCAGCTAAAAAAAGCAACACCAGATCGTGCTGCAAGGCACTGGACATCTAGTTCAATGCATTCGTCCCTGCTTTCAGAAAAGAGGCTTCCCCAATCTCCAGCATGCGCTCGTTCCTAACCGGTTGAGCGTCGGGTTAAAATCAGCGATTGAGGTTTAGGGCTTATGCTAACAGGGTTGGCAATCAGGGATGGGGCTTGGGCTTCAGGGCCTCGGGATTCAAGACGATTTGGTGCTTGCCAGGTGCTGTTCCAGCCACCTGCCCGGAATATTCAACCCCACTCCCTTATGTACCCTAAACCCCTAAACCCCAAATGCAGCAGGGATCCTGATATCAAGGCAATTACAGAATGCACGTGCATGTTGGAACAGCACCCTAAACCCAAACACCTTCATAAAGCGCTGTACACCCGTATGTAAGCCCCAGGGAGGTCCAGTGGTCTTGGAGAGACATGATAACTGGGTTGTGCTTTAAACCCTTTGAATTCTTTTATGAATAGGTTCCCTTTATAAGGAAATAAGGGAAATTAAAATTTATCCCAAAGCACAACCCAGACAACAGTATCAGTATGTAGTGGTAGTAAGGGGTTTTGTCCTTTGTGCGTATGCAGCATACACACTGGCCCTAGAGTTACTACCCTCAGGATCCAAGTACCCAATACTCACGTACTCTCCGAAATACTGTTCGTTACTAACCTACATTGCCACTACCCTGAACTACCTACTAATGATTGAGCTCTTTGGACCATCAGGGCTATATTGTAACCTTACTTACCGGGCTTCTTGAACCCCAAACTATCCCAAACTCAAGACATAAACGCTCACACCCCACAACAGTTTATATCAGGTGTTGAGCGTTTCGGGTACAGAGTTTAGGCTTCTCTAGCTCATATGATCCCCTCATACCGCCCGCATACCACCCCAAAACCCTGCTCCAATCATTAAGGTGCGTGGGTCTTTATTGATCCTACTACTTTAGTGTTATCGGGCCAGGTTCCTGAACCTAGAGGGTCCAAGCACGCAAATAGTAGGGCTTTAGGCTCACAAGACTATGCCCTGAACTGAATGGTTTTGGTTCCTGACACTCTAGTATTCGGGTCCTTGGACCCTTGAGGTAAACCCTAAACCAACGGTAGGACTTCAGGCTAATAAGGCTTATTTAAGGAAGTATAGTCCCCTACCCCCTCCCCCTTACCCCTCTAAGGGTCCCTATTAGTTGTTTGTATTGCCCTAAGGGTCCAAGCACCTACGTGTCATATACTCTCCAAAGTAGTAACCTACTACTACCCTAAACCCGAGTACCTAATCATTGGGTCCTTTGAGCCCTGAGCATAGACCTTAAACCGTAAACCGACGGTAAATGGGAGTTTCCGAAAATAGGGGACCCTGATATGGTACCCTAAATAGTAGGATCCTTATTATAAGGACCCCATTATAAGGTACCCCTAATTTTCGGAAAATCCTCTATGAAAGTAGGACTTCAGGAAAAGCGTCCACTCGGCCACTGGGCTGAAAGGCACAACGCTGGAAAGTGCCAGCCGCGGGCGCAGCGCCTGAGGCGAGGGCAAAAAGGTGCCTTTTTCAAGGGCTTCCTATAGTATAAACCCTAAACCCCCAAACCCTAAACCCCTAAATCCGCTTTAAGGGGGCTGACAAATCTAGGGCTAAGGGGGTGGCCTAATGCGTAGCTGAAAAGTAGAAGAACCCTATTCCAAATATCAAGGCTCCTTGAAACTCTCCTATCGTATAACACCTGTATGGCAAGTCCTGCAAAGCCCTTTGCAGAGCAGCCCTCCTTCTGAAAACCCTTGCTAACCCCTTGCAGAAGCCTTAAACTTACCCTGAGGGTCCATGTACCCAAATAGTATATACTTTAGGCCCAATGTACCCATATAGGGAGTACTTTAAGGCCAATGTATGTACTATTTAGGTACATGGACCCTTAGGGTTATGAACAACTCTGAGAATGCATGCATATGCGTGGCCCTCAACCCAAACCATGGGTTGAGAAAACCCTAAGCCCCAAACCCTCAACCCTGAGCCCCTAAACCCGAACAAAAACTCTTTAGGGTTTAGGGTTTAGGGTTTAGGGTTTAGGGTTTGGGGTTTAGGGTTTAGGGTTTAAGGTTTAGGGTTTAGGGTTTGCCATGCGAGTGCGCCCAGACCCCCCCCATAGAGTGGTTGGGGGGTCGGCGCAGGAGCCGAAGTCCCACCCTCCCAACCCAAACCTCGACCTTACCGGGTTTAGGGTTTTCTACCCCCCAACCCCCCTAGCAAGGGGGGCAGACACAACAAACAACCACAATTTCGGTTTTTTAAACTTCAAAAAAGATGGAGCGAGCATGGCAACCTCAAGCATGGCAACATAGACTGCTCGTCGCAGACGTTTTTTAATATCAGATAGTATCGACTTGTCCTAGGACGGCCAAGCTGATCACCGAATTTTTTCTTCAGAGCATATGCTGTTTGACAAGAATCGACGGAGGCGGCGGTTGGCTTCACTTGCGTAGTTAAGTTATCTTCACCCATCTTTGGCTTCATCCACCGGCTGAAAATGTGCGGCAGTCACAGCTCCACCGATCAAGATGTCTTTGCCGTACGAGACACGGCTCAGGGCGGTGTATGCAGCACCCGGCACACCAGGGCAGTCTAAGTAGGCCGTCACGTGTGTGAGTTCGGCCCCTTGGAACTTGACGATCGTGTCTGCATAAGCAGCCTTCAAAGGATAGTAAGTCAAGTTGCCCAGGTCCGGGTCTGTCCAAGGCCAAACCGCGACGCGATGCTGCGTAGTCGTGACGACCTCCACCGCTTTGGAGGTGGCGTTGTAGGCGACCACCTGTCCGTCCATTCCATTGACGAAGTCCACGTCCTTGCGGACATTTCGTGTGAAAACCACACGCATGCCGCGAAAGATCGGCAACGGAAGCGGCGCGAGGGCGGACAAATCCTGCAAAAGTGCGCCGTCCTCGTAATTCTTGGGGTTGGACTCCACATCCGCAGGTAGCACAGCCAAAGGGTCATAGCGAGGAAAGAGAGCTCGCAATGCCAAGTCATTGATCGTTTGAGCTCCCCGCCGCGTGCAGGTCAGGACGACGGTATCCGGATGGGCTTTGAGGAGCTTTCGAATCCCGTCCACGGAGGGACTCTGCGGGGGCGCCCACGCTTTGCGACCGTGTAACCATTTTAGAGTCTTGGTCCCTGGACGGCTTGTGCGGAGCTCTTGCAAGATGCGGTTGAACGCCGGGTCTTTGCAGCGGTACGTCTTGTGCAATTTGACCCTGTAAATCATGCGCTTCCACAGCGGGCTGTGCCACGCGCGCGTCGGGCCAAACCCGGCCATCTGCAACTCGTCCCCGGCCATGAGGATCGCCGGAAGGTTGTCAGCTTGGTTCCACAACTTGCAGATGTGCTCGAAATGCGGCTGTTGCAGTTGCGAAATCTCATCCACCACGATGAGTGCGTAGCGCGCTAGCGCCGGCAGGACGGCGCCCGGCGGCTCGTCCAAGGCAAACGCCGCGTGAAATGTGTCCACCGCCACTGTGGCCGGCAGCTTTGCACGCATGCGGCTAGCTTGGCGGTTCGTCGGATAGGTGAACAATACTTCGCCACCCAAATCCAGCGTGCGTTGCACAGCCGCGAGGGCCGTCGTCGTCTTCCCAGTGCCCGGCCCACCGGTGCAGACGAAGATCTTCCCCTGCTCGTACGCCTCCTGCAGGAGCTCGTCTGCCTCCGCTTCGCTAACGGTTTGTTGCACGGCCAGGACGCGGTCCACAGCCGCGGCGAGCTTTGCCTGCAGGTGTCGCTGCTCCGCATTGAAAGCCCTTCCGGTGTCTTGGTCTGTGTCGGGACGGGCACGCAAGCGGTCCCGTCGGCGTGCCTCCGAACGGACATCAGCCGCGCCGGTCAAATATTTGTGCACTAACTCGCGGTGCGCCGTGGCCATCGCTAGGAGAGTCGCCACAAACGGACGCGACAACGCCTCCATCCGCAGCTCGGTCTCCAGCCCAGCTGCATCGGTTCCCCACATCGCCTTCGCCGTGGGGTGCTCGCAAAGCACCGCCATCGCGAAGTTGCGGTGCTCCGCAGGCACACGGTCCAGGGCATCGGCGACAGGCGCAACGAAGTCCTCCGGGTCGGCGAAGGGCACGTGCAGCATCAGCCATTGTCCATAGAACTTGTCGTTCAGTCGAGACAGCATGTCTGCGGCCACCAGCTTCTCCCCCCGAACGACATATTCAGCCGCAAAGTCGCCCAGGGAGAGGCCACGCGCATCGGCCGTGTGGCGCCGCTTAAGCCAAGCACAGATTTGCCCGGCGCTGGTCGTCTTTCGCAAGAAATCGAGGAGGCTGATTCTGCCGGCGGCCCATGGCGCGGCCATGTATTGCCTGACCTCCTGTGGCTGCTCTGGCTTCTCCGGCCAGGGCACGACGAAGTCACGCTTGCCCCGGCCCTCAGTGGTGACAAACCATTGCCGAAAGCGCGCGCCGAACATCTGCAAGGTCATCTCGGGCTCCAGCGGCTTGTACCGGCACAAGACGGTCGCAGCGATGCTGTCGCCCTCCGCCGCGTCATTCAGCCATTCGTCCTGATTGGAGTCGCTGAACTTGCTGACGTACTTCGCGACGTAAGCCCGCAGGGCGCCGTCGTCGTCGGCGAACTGGAAGTCTTGATGGCACCGAAGAGCTTCCATGAGAGGCACGAAAAAGGGCCGAAGCCCCATGTGTCCGTCCTGCGGTGTGTGGAGGAGCTGCAAGCTGCCTGTGTGAGGGTGCCACCCGTTCGGCTCCGCATGCTCAGGCCACCCGCTCCGGCCCGAGCGGTCGAGCTGAGAGCCACGCACGAGTCCGGGCAGAATGTCGTCCGCGTCCGTGGCCACAGGCATTGTGGCGGAAACCGTCTCGGGGAGCGGCATGCGCTGTATTGCTTCCGTCGACGCAAAGACGAGCACGTGAATGTGCGGTCGCCCGGAGCCGTGGTAGTCTTGCGTTGGCGCCTTACGCGTGCCATCTTGAAACTCGACCCGCAAGAACACGTGGACGGGGTGCACTTCCCCGTCGGGACCGACGGCCCGAAGCAAGTGGCGCTGCCAGGCCCGTCCGGCCCGCCAGAACGCCTCGCACAACCTGCAACAGGACGTGCGTGACGTGGAGGCTCTCGGCGACTGCCAGGTGCAGTCGTCCCCTGAGCTCCTTGGCCATCTCGTCCCGAAGCCAAGCATGGTACGGCATGGACCATTCATAGGGAGAGATTGTCCAGAAGATCTTGGGGTACCCCACCTGGCGGACCATGTCCAAGAGCGCGCAATGGACGGCTCGCCAATACAAGGGCGAGAACGAGTGGCCTTTCATGAGTACTCTCATTGGCACATCGTACTCTCGACTCGTCGTTTTCTTCGCGCCCAGCGCCGACCACAGATTCAGGTCGTAAGCAAAATGCAGAACGTCGCAGCGGCTCCCATACCCGAGGTGGGCCGACAAGGCAAGGGATGAGTAGGCGCGCTTGATACTGTGGCGCCGACCGTCCGCTTCCGCATCGTCATCCGTGTCCGAGCCCGCGTCGCCGCGGACGAAGGCCTCTAACGTCGGGCCACAGACGCGGCCAACGCGCCGGGCATCCGTGCAGCGCACCACAGTCAAGCACAAGGAATCTTTGTAGAACAGGTGCGGCCACAAAGAAGTTTCCAGTCCGGGTGTTTCTATGAATTGGAGACGCCGACGGCAGGTCCGCTCGTCCGGGTCCGGGTGCTTGGCTAGAAAAGCTTCGTGTTCCGACTCGAAGCGACTGTAAGCGCAATCTTGCGCTCGCATCAAATATTTCTTCGCTGTGCGGGCAAGCTGTCGCTGCGCTGGATTCTGAATCGCCCGAATGCGCTTGGAAGTGCTGGAAGACTGCCAGAAGAAACGGGCCATAGTGGCATGCTGTCGGTAGCCACTGTTATTCGATGCCCGTATCTCGGGCCCGACATCCAAGCGAAGGTGAGTCAGCGCCTGCAGGGTCTCCTCGGTTAGGCCGCGCAAAGCCTCCGGCACTTCGTCGGGCACAGGCGCGGCACAACGGACCGTGGCACGACAGCGCGGACATTTGCTTTGACGACACATACGGCGAGTCCCGCCCCTGGCCTTTCAGCGTGGCCTCGGTCAGCGGCAACGGCAGCATACTGTAGCACTCTGCACACATGCCCCAAGAACGTTTCTCGCACCATTCATAAAGATCCGCGGCGAGCTCCGACCGGGCTCGCTTCGGTGGCGGGAGCCCCGTGTCGTTTGTCACAGCTTCGCCACGCACGGCACGGCCAGCAATGCCGAAGCGACGCCGGGCTCGGGCACGATCGTCCAAAACTTGCTTGCGGTACAGGTGTTTGGCTGCGTCGGAAGGTGCGGCGCACAACGAGCGCCGCCCGGCAAGAGCCGGGCCCCAAGTAAAACCTGAAGCCGCAGCAGGACGTTTGCGGTTGCGGCGCCGCGTGCCCACCGGGCCCGGGATCGCTTGGAGTGCTTCGACGAAGAATTGGCGATGCGCTTCTGGTACTCTTGCAACTGCCGTATCCCGGGAGGCTAGAGCCAGGCGCCGCATGCTCGCTAAGACTCGACTGCGGCCTGTCAGCGTGGTGCATTCGGCCGCTAGACGCGGAGGGTCGCAAAATAAGCAGCAAGCATGCTTCTTGTGCAGTTTGGCAGGCCCTCCGGCAGAAGTCTGAGCAAAGATGCAAGCGGCGCCATCCAAGCCAGCGCAGCGCGTTCGTTCTGCAACCAGCTTATCGAAAACTGCGCGATAGGCGCTCGGCACCAGCTCCCGAGCGCGGTCCTGCTGCTGCGGGGACAGCTGGCCGAACGTGCGCACGAGGACGCTTCTGCCGACGCGGCCGTCGCAAGCTGCTTCCATGCGCGATGAGCTGCACCACATGCACTGAACATGTGAGCCACCGGTCTGAGCGGCGCCCCCTTCACGACCAAATGTACAAGGCAACTCTCCGCGGCCCTGGCATTTGACGGGCATGGCGGCCTAAAGAGTACGCAGGCAAAACGAAGAAGCTAGAGCTCGAGCCAACAGCAGCAGCAAACAAAGCAGCAGTCGTGCTGCAACGGGTAACAAGCTGGCTAGACATCAACTTCATATCCCGGCCCCAGTCTTCTTTGGTCTTCTTTTCTCGGTCCCCCTCTCTCTCTCTCTCTCTCTCTCTCTCTCTCTCTCTCTTTCTTTCTTCTCTCTTTTTTTTTTCTCTCTCTCTCTCTCTCTCTCTCTCTCTCTCTCTCTATCTCTCCCTGTTTTTCTATCTCCTTCCTCCATATGTCCTTTTTGCTTATGTCTCTTTTATACTTGTCTTCCCTTCTTCTTTTTGTTTTTCTCTCCGTCTGTCTGTCTCTCTCTCTCTCTCTCTCTCCCTCTCTCTTTCGCTCTCTCTCTCTCTCTCTCTCTCTCTCTTTCTTTCTCTCTTTCTCTCGGGTGCCTTGGAGGAGCTGGTCCTTCACAGAGAAGGACGACGATGCATCCCTGCCTGGGAGGGGCCGGGAAGGCCCAGGCTTTGGGTTCCTGTCCCGTGAACTTGGAAGCGAATTCCTATTCATAGAGAAGGACGACGAAGCCGTCCTTATGGGGAGGGGCCCAGGCACATCACCTGGGGCCGGTTGGTCTTTCACAGAGAAGGACGACGAAGCGCCCTCATGCAGAGGGGCCCGGGCCCATCACAGCAATAACTGCAGCGGTCGTGGCTCCCTGCCAGCGCAACGTGCTGTGAGGGGCCTTGGTGGTGCCTTCAAAGACTGCTCTGGTGGGTGGTGTGCTCTGGCGAGTGTGCTCCCGACTGCCTTGGAGGGCCCTTGCGGAGGCTGAAGGACGACGATGCATCCCGCCTGGGAGGGGCCAGAAAGGCCCAGGCTTTGGGTTCCTGTCCCGTGAACTTGGAAACGAATTCCTATTCATAGAGAACCTAGAGGACGAAATGTCTCTTATAATTCCCCGAAAGGTAACTAGTGAAAATGTGCGGCGCTGAATGTTTCTTAATTTCCTCTAGTACGACCGAAGATATATGACATTTTGGAATGCACTTTATTTTCCTTATTGATGACTCATGGACTGCGAAAACACGAAATGTCCTTTATTTTCCATCAATATATATATATATATATATATATATATATATATAGGTATTAGTATACATATTTGGCATGACTTGACTTGCTTTGGCATGGCATGACTTGCTTGGCATGACTTGACTTGCTTTGGCATGGCATGACTTGCTTGCTGCTACTACTACTACTACTACTACTACTACTACTACTACTACTACTACTATTATACTATGTATTTTTGACATGGATTGACTTGCTTGGCATGGCCTGCAGGGTTTGTTGTGAGTGATGTAGGGAGGATGCATATGGACTCAGCAAGTGTCTGCTACAGCTACCCGGCTCACCAGCTATAGTCCTGCCACTTTAAAAGCCATGGACCAAGACGGGCAGGATCAGGCTCCGGAGCAGAGAAAATGGTATTGGGTGTGGGACGGTTCATGGACTCAGCGATGGCACAGTCTGTGGCGCTCATTGGAGTTATCCAGAGAGGAAGCACAGAAGGAAGCTGGTGAAACCCAGACACCCATGGACACCAGTGAGCCAAGCCAGCGGAAGCGGAAAAGAGCAGATTCCCCAAGGGAGCTTCGCTAAGGGTAGCCAATTAAATGCATGACGAACACCATTTTCCAGCCAGCTGGACAAATGATTGAGAGCAGATGCCATGAGGAAAATGATGCATGACTGCTGTATGCACATATACAGCAATGGATAGATGCTTTGCACGGTTTCACCATGTTGGGCTCAAAGCTGTGAGAAGAAACCTGGAACCTTCAACCTTAAACCCTACATCAGGGGTCCCTGTGTGCTAGTGTCTGCAGTACTAGGTTCTTTCTACCGAGTGCTGTGCTTGCCCTGCTTGAGTGTTGTGCTGGGACATGGCCCTCCATGCCGAAACGCCGGCTAGCCATCAAGGACGTCTTTGACAGTGCCCCGCTGTGTGTATGTCTTGCAGACTTGCATTGCAGCAGCAAGATCGCGACTCGATCCTGGCTCCTCTGCATCATCTAGGTCCAAGCATGTTAGCTCCCTTTGAGATCTTGCATGGGTCTATATGTAAAGCTGGAAGGCAGCGACAGGGTGCATAGTGCATGTTGGCATATAATTTCGTATCCTGTACACAGGCTTTCGGAGTGCAATGGCACTGCTCAAGGCCAACTCGGCCTGTAAGATGGCCTCGAATATGGGTCAGGGGGAGCATTCGGTCCTTGTGGGCCTGCTGTACAACAGCTACAAGCAGGAACTGCCCTTCTTCCGCCAGGCCTGGTTGTATGGATCACTATATACCATTACTAGCTACCACTACTGGCAGCACTACCACCGCCCAGGCGGGCTTTCAGGTGGTGAGCGACAAATCCGGCAAACTCTTGAAGTGCAAGGACCACTGCTCCAGAAAGGACGTCAAAGCAAATCCCCGGGTGGATTGGCAATATTAAGTCAAGAAAGTGTAGGAACCTATATGCATAATGGGTCAGCACGAGGCCCCTGAAAGCACTTAAGTGGATCCCCGCCTAGGTCGCAGTGGCCACTCTTCGTGGTTATGGCATGCAGGAACAGGGTCCAGATTTTAGATCTCGTATGTCAGCTTTCGTTATCGCCGAAGCCTTGCTGAAACTCTACCAGAAGAAGAAGCTGTTCCCCTCCGGCATGGAGTCCTCCAACCCTTTGGCCCAGAAATGGGCGATCAAGGTTGGTAGTGCAGCCCGCAAGCTAGCAACTGAACTGTATTAATTGATCTTGGCTTGCATGTTGACCTTGGCATGGCATGCTCTGCAGTGTTTCGTGTGTGTGTGTGTGGGTCTGTGTATGTAGCTGTGTCGGTTGCAAGGCCAGCACTCTGAGAATCCTCATGCGACGTGCAGATTCCAGCCATTGCTCAGAGATCAGGGACATGAAAAAGGAGTGCGAAGAGTTTTGGTGGAAACGAGAGGAGCTGCCAGCATGTTTCTGCGGCTCATTGATTTAGGGTTATTCCACTTGTAAACTTTTTCGCAGGATCTCTCAGATGGTGGAGAGTCCCAGGAATCCTCGTCGTCCTCGGGTGCCTTGGAGGACCTCATGAAGCTGACCCAGCAGAAGCCGGTTGAGGCCGAAACCAAGGTTTCGCAGGATCGTTTGAAGTTCATGAAGGAGAAGAAGGCCGAGGGTTACAGTATGGAAAAAATCAATCGTGCTTGGATCAAGAAGCTGAGGGATGAGGAGGATAATGAAGCAGTTCAGGATGAGCCGTTCTACCCTTCCTCCCAGTACAAGCCGAAGAAGAAGAAGGGCTCGAAGAAGGACTCGAAGACCCCCGAGAAGAAGAAGCCCGAAGAGAAAAAAAAGAAGACCAGCAAAGCAAAGCCACCGGTTGAATCGTCCACGTATCAACCTGGAACCTTTAAAGATGCTCGCAATGCTTTTATGCAGAAGAAGAGGGCCAAAGGTTTCACGCACCTCGAGGCCTGTAAGGCATGGATGCTGTCCAATCGTCGAGCTAACATGCTCTCGGACCTCCCGGAGAACGAGCTTAAGAGGCGCAGATTCGCCTGATTCGTGTTTTTTTCGGGCTCCATGAAGCAAGCTTCAGGTTATATGAGCTTGAGTGATTTGAGATGGGTGCTGGCTGTTCTCCACGGAATGCTGGGGCTCTGGCATAAGGCCAGTTCTGGGCTTTTGTATCATAGCACTGCCTGGCTGGGGGCAAGGCTGGGTATCGCTGGCTATGCGATTGTAGTTCCTGTGTCCACGGGGTTTGCGAATCGCACAAGAAAAAATAGTCCACTTGGCATGGCATGACTTGTTGCATGAACTGTGCTTGCAAGCGCCGATTCTGTGAATTGGGCACACATGTGTGATTGCATGCATGGTGCAGGGCAGGAGCTGTCAACTCTAAACCTCCTCGCATTCCCAAACCCTCGGGCCCTTAAACCCTACAACTTTTAATAGCCAGTACCCCAGAATCCCAATCCGAGTATAGCTTCTTGCTTCGACTACGACGTCGAGGATGAAGGACTGCATTCGTGGGGCACTAGATCTGTTCAGATTTCGAGCGGTTTTGCAGAGGACATCGGAGCACTGCAGGAAGGCCGCTGTCGTGGTAGAGTCGCTAGAGTTTGGAATATAGGTGTGTTAAGTTTCACCCAGCCAGGTACTTGGATCGACCCGAGCTGGTTTGGTGGGTCCGGCTCTCATTGCATCCGTTCTTGGTATCGAAGCCTGAGCATTGGTGCATGGCTTGGCATGCATGTTGTCGGCATGATGAAGTTTGGCTGGCGAGCTTTATGTTGGTCGATACATGTTGGCATGAACTTGTTAGCACTTTGCAGCTGGGTATATAAATATTGCCATGATATGAGCAATCATTATTGATCAAAGCATGAACGTGTTCAGCTCATGTCAACTTGCACCATGCCATGCCATCACTTTTTGCCTGGTTTGTGTTCGAGGGGTCGAGGGGCTACTTTTCGGGTTTAGATCACTATACTAACTATACATTAAATAGTCGATTCGAGGACACAACCTATGAACCCTAAACCCTTATAAGGGTTTAGGTATAATGTCCGAGTTTAAGCGCCGAGACCCCTAGATAGCACAGCCATGCCGTCCGAAGGGCATGCCGATCAATGGCCTAGCCACCTGCGGTTCCCTCCACCGCCTAAGCTTTCGTCGACCAGACCTTCGACAGCGATCCTGCCACCGCGGCCCCCGCCAGTGCCGGTGGTCGACTTGGCATCGATCCCGAAACCTCCGCCGGTGCCTCCTCGACGTCCCCTTATGGTACCGCCTCCTGCTAGGCCTCTAGCCCCTGCAGACTTTAAGGCCAGGCCGCCAAAACTTCGCATGAGCATGAGTTGCCTTGCTTGATTTCTTGTGTTTGCAGGTGGCAGCTACAGCAGCTGCCGTGGAGCCCATGGGCAAGGCTATGTGTCTTTTGCAAAAAAAACCAATACCCTAAATAGACCGCGACAACCCAAACCTCACATGGTATTGGCATGCTTGGGCTTGGATTGGTATTGAGCTTGCTAGGCAGATGGTATGCCTCCCGTGGTTCTGCCGAAGCCTGCAGAGCTCGTGAATCCCGGGCCGGAGGCTGTGTGTTTTGGTGTATAAACACCATGGGCCCTAAAATAAACCGCCACCCGAAATAACCCAATGATTGTCTTGACCTGCTTGGATTGGATTGATATATTGAGCAGGCACTGCCGAAGCTTGCACCGAAGACTCCGCCGATGCCTCCGCCGATGCATTTATATGGCTTTGGGCCTGCACCGTCGTCGCCGCCTCCACTGCCTCCGCCTGCAACTGAGCCCCCCGAGCTCGATGCTGCAAGCTCTGTGGAGTCCTTGTCGTCAGAGGCAGACCACATGTATCTAGAGGTATTCAGGGTTTAGGGTTTATAGGGTTTGGGGTTTATAGGCTTTATAGCTCCTTAACTTGCAGTTGTCGTGTTTTGCCTTGGCTTGATTTGTTGCAGGCCGCTGCATGTGCCGCCGATGACTATGAGGATTTTGGGGCCTCGGAGCCCTCGAGCCCAGAGGCAAGCCTAGAGGCAACTTCAGCGGCAGGTGCAGAGCAGAGCGAGAGCGAGGCCTCGATCACCTCGAGTACGCTGAGACGGCAGTTTCAGCAGATGAGGCAGCAGATCGAGAAGGAGGAGCAGGCTGTGCAGGCCGAGGGATCGAGGCGATCACGATCGAGATCGGGGCGATCGAGATCGAGGCGATCGAGATCGGGGCGATCGAGATCGAGGCGATCGAGATCAAGGCGATCGAGATCAAGGCGATCGAGATCGAGGCGATCGAGATCAAGGCGATCGAGATCGAGGCGGCGATCGAGATCGAGGCGGCGATCGAGATCAAGGCGGCGATCGAGATCGAGGCGATCCCGGAGGCGATCGAGATCGAGGCGATCCCGGAGGCGATCGAGATCGAGGAGGAGGAGGAGGGACAGTAGGTCTTAGGAGTGCGGGATTGGGGCTCCTGGGCTATAATATCTAGATATAATATATGCTCTCCCATTGCATGTGTGTGTGTGCTTCGGGCTGATGGGCCGGCCGGGTCGTATGTTAATAGAAAAGCAAAGCTATAGAGCTATAGTGCAAAACATGCAATCGCTCGCATGCACACCAATGGAGCCACATGATCCTGCACTTCAGATTTTGATCTGTGGCTGGATCGGCCAAACCTGTACAGGTACGTATCAGAGCCGTGTACACTATTGCAAGTTAATTGAAAAAGATTGGTCGGTTGCCATGCTTGCACATGATTGATTGTCTTGCAGCTTGTCTTGCATGCATGGTTTGTGCTTGCTTTGCATGGATTGGACCGCTTGCCCAGGTCGATGCGAGCTGGTCGTGGTGAGGATCTCAGCGAAGGTGTTTGTGATTGATTGGTTTGTTGGTTTGTCCTATAGGGATATTGGGTTGTGGTTGGGATTGGGACCCCTAACCCTGAACCCTAAACCCTGAACCCTAAACCTTGAACCCTATAAACCCTGAACCCTGAACCCTCAACCTCGCTTATATAATCAATTCGGGCTTTATAAATGCCTTAAGCAGAACACCCGCCCAGGTCGAAGCCAGTATGGTCTTGCTTCATATCGTGTTGTGCATGTCATGAATGTTTGGATGCATGCTTGTTTGCTTTGATCCCAGGTGATATCATCATGTGCAAGCTGATCAATTGGTGGTGCAGGGGCCTGACCCTAGATAGCGATGCCGCAGCTAGCTTTCTTTACCCCCCGCATTCCCCGCAGTACGCACCGTAAATTCCCCGAACCCGCCCCGATACAAATGCCCTGCAAATTCATTCAAATGCCCCGTAAATTCCTACAAATGCCCTGCAAATTCATACAAATCGCCCTTTCTGGGTAATGCGCAGGAATGCACCATACGCTCTTCATTTTCCCGTACAATCGGCTAGTATCCCACATTATCTGAGTAGTGCGCCAGAATATATTGGATTGTCCATTATCCTCTCTATATTATATGAGCCTTTATACTATATAACTTGATATGGAATTATAATTATAAACTATACAATATAAACCCTATAAGCCCTTAAACCTTAATAACCCTAATATCGGTCTGCATCGAGTACAAAAGCCACGTGCTGCTTGCATTGCATGTCATGCATGAACCATGTCTTGAGCTTGGCATGTCTTGCTGTTGCATGTACGTTGCTGTGTATAGGTTTTTGGCTGCAGGCTTTTAAGTCGCTAGGTCGTAGCCCATCATAATGGAGAAAGAAATCAAAGCCTTAATGAAGACAGCAAAGCTGTCCTATGAGGAGGCTAAGTTTTGCCTCGAGCCGCCAAAGAAGGAGCCTCTAGACACGAATTGTACTAGCCGCATGCACATTGAATTGATCGGTATAATTGCCACCTAGGCCGAAGCTGTGGAAAGGTGCTTCGAAGCTGACACCTCCTAGGAGGGTCCGAGAAAAGTCAACCCCGGCGGGGGGCTCGGGGATCAAGCGATCTGCTGTAGATCGTGACGGTGCATGGGTATATGAAGGGCATGCTCATGAGAATCAAAAGAAGAAGAACAAGAAGCAAAAGCAACCCAAGGAGGAGGAGAAAGAGGAGGAGCATGATGCAGTGCCAGCAACAAGCAACAAAAAGTCCAAGAAGGCAAAGAAGGAGAAAGCAAAGGAAAATAAGGCTGCAAAGGTTTCCATTGATCAAATGGACACCCAGGAGTGGGATGCCGAGGATACGGGGCCATGGGCACAGGAGCTCGAATGGGATGATGAGGTGCAGGCCGAATGGGAGGCATGGCGAGAGGAATGCAGGCTCATCAAGATCAGTCAGCAGGAGGAAGACGAAGGCGACGTCGATGGAGAGGCTTGGGATCCGGAGGACTTCATTCCTGAGAGCGACTGGTATCACATGGTGGTACCTTCAAGTAAGTTGCCACTGTGGGGAGGGTTGAGAAGTGATTATGAGTCTTCGCACTCGTCTGATCAGCTCGAGGAGGTGCCGGAGAAAGTCGCCAAAGATCCCGTACCGTCAACCGCGAAGGAGGTGCCGGAGAAAGTCGCCGAAGATCCCGTACCGTCAACCGCGATGGTCCTGCATGAAAAGAAGGATGAGAAGATCACTTCGGCCACGCACCGCTCAAGCTGGAACAAGCTATCGCAGCTTGCGGAGAGCGGCGAGTTCCCATGCCTGGCTTCGGCCTGGTCTACTGCCGATAGAAAGAAAAAGAACGAGCTACTTCGGAAGTATGTGCTCTCCAAAGACCCCAATCAGGTCGAAAGCGAGCTGCAAGTCACGAGTACCCAAGGCACTGGTAGCAGAAAGGTCAGGGTGTGCTTGACCCTCCGCCAGATGAGAAAGAAGCCGTACTTCTTCCCCAAGGAGAAGTGTGAGTGGATCGCACAGAACAGAAAAGGCATCGAGGACGAAGACTTTCCAGGTGGTCCACTAAAGTATTGGGTCAATGTCATGATGGAAGCCGAAGACTACAAGAAGAACCAGCCCCTATAGCACGCATGGAGTTTGACATGTGAGTTGACATGTGTGTGATTATGTCCCCTAAACCCTAAGCCTCCTGAAAAGATCGTGACTTCCATAGGTCTTTTGGCGAACATTCCCCAATAACCCTAAACCATAAAAAGATCATCAATTCCATATGGTTTTTGGTATGTTCCCCACCATGCATGGTCGAGGTCCGAAGTCCGATCCCGCTCCAATATGGACATTCAGGAGGCGATGCAGGTCCACCTCGCGAACAAGCCTGCTTTCGGCAAGAAGTCTGATCGCACAGAGACGGTCGATGATGACGCTGACAGCGACGAAGAGCAGAAGCCCGAGCCGAAGCCCAATCGCGGGAAGAACAAGCCCTCGTCTACCCCCCAGCTGGCCTTGCCAGACAAGCCCTCGAATAAGCCCGGCGGTAAGAAGGCAAAGGTCAAGAAAATCAGTGTGTGGGATACCCCATGGGCCACCAAAGAAGAAAGAAAAGAGAAGTGGAGTTCGTGGCCTAGTGTTTGGGAGATTGCATGGTAGAATCGTTGTAGAGTTTTAAAAGCAACTTTTCGGGTCCCAGGCTTGTTATAATTAAGTTCAGGCAGCGAGCTCCGCAAGGAGTTGATCAGCGCCGAAGGCATCCGCCAAGATGCTCCCGAAAGGATTGAGCCAGGTGTCAAGGACTTTTGTTTGTTGCTTTGGCTTGCTTGCATGTGTATGTTTGTGGCATGGCATGGCATGGATCTTGATAAACCCGCTTTGACCCCACGCTTGAAACCTTAAGCCTTCCGCCTTAAGATCGTGTCCAGGATGCTTTCGAGAAAGCCACAGCAGACATGCGGTCCGCATTCCAGAAGTCGCTTGTGCATATGTACGATAGATATATAGCATATAGGAACGAGAGAGCCTCATGCACCGAGACTTAATTAATTATATGTAAGGCTGAAGCGAACACCTCTCGACGACATCGACAGCATTCGCGACGATTGCATTGAGGCGGTCATTCAGTTCAACATTGCACGAGGAAGCATGCGAGGAGCCATCACGGCCATGAAAAAGCAGTCCTGATCGATCGGCGAACCACTAGCAAGAGCTAGCATCCTGAAATTTTGACTTTTGCTTAGTTGTGGTGCACCGCACCGCTGCTGCGAATCGCGAACCGCAAAAAAGATCTTCAATCCCATATGTCCTTTGCCGTAAAAGATCGTAAGTTCCATATGGTTTTGGTACATTCCCCAAACCCAAAAACCTTAAAAATATTAGCAATTCCATATGTCTTTTGGCAAAAAAGATCGTAAGTTCCATATGGTTTTGGTTAATTCCCCAAACCCTATAACCTTAAAAAGATTAGCAATTCCATATATATTAATTCCCTTAGACCTTAAAAAGCTTCAGAAATTCCTTTCAAGCCCACAGGTACTTGTTCGGACCATGTCAGTGATGCTGACAAAACGGCCAAGAAGTCCCACGCCCGGATGAGTATCGATCCATCTTTGTTGTATCTATTGGCATGCTTTGCTGCTAGGCTGCTTCAACAGGTTGCAGCCGGAAGATCCACGCTGACGGCTTCTGCAGAAGTCTTGGCCCACTTGGATTCGGATCTTTTGGGGTTTCTTGGTGGGGAACTTGCCATGGCATGTACGTTTAAATTGTCTTGATGCATGGATGGTTAAACATGTGCTTGATTTGCCTAGGGGGATTTCCGTCGAGACCTCTTCGAGATGATGAGCTTTTCGCAAAAGCCAAAAAGGCGAAGATGGCGATCCCCTGCTTGGCTCAGTATGTCGTCACGCCTGTGCATGTGCATGCTGGGCAGATCGAGTACCAGTCCTGGCCATATATAAGTCCGATAGAGTGGTTGGAAAAGTTGATGATGGACCATCGAGATGCCTTAGTACCAAGCCCCAGTGAGATAAAGGATTTCTGGAAAACGTGGCTCAAAGACCACCCCCTCGACGAATTCCACGACGACAGCTGGCCGCTGGAGAGAATCATACCGCTACAATTGTGGGGGGATGAGGGTACCCTGAGGTCTAACTCTTGGCTCCTGGTGACTTTGCAATCAGCCCTTGGCCCTCCTGATGTGCGAAGTCTGTCACAGGCGAGCAGGTACCCTCTTTTCTCTTTCCCCGTGGAAGGTTATGTGAAAGATCCCGACACCAATGTCAACATGTCGCTGGACATGTTGTTGGAAAAAATTTCCTCGGACTTCAACAAGCTGCTTAGCGAGGGCTTCACAACGAAGCATGGACATTTTTTTGCCAGGCTAGTAACGCTGAAGGGCGACTGGAAATGGCTAGTGCAGGCACTGAACCTGGTTAGATCGCCGAGCTCCGACATGATATGCCCATTTTGTCATGCCGGGAAAACGCACATGCTCTTCACGAATGTCCGAGAGGATGCCCCGTGGGCAAACACACTTTTCTCTTCTGCACCTTGGCAGGTGTTCCCTAGTATAATGCGGATCAAGTATTTTCGCCTGGAGATGGTTGTCTTCGACCTGATGCACGTTTGGCATTTGGGGTGTGGCAGAGATATCGCCGGCACGTGCATTAAGGAGCTCACGAAAGCCAAAATTTTTGTTGGTAGCAAGATCGGTGAGAGGCTCCAATCGGCATATCAATCCTTGAGATCCTGGGCTCGAGAACACAACAAAACATTGGCCATCAAAAGGTTTACGAAGGAGAATGTGCATTGGTACAGCGATGCCTGCCCCGAGCCTTGCACGATCTTAAGTAATTAATATCCCGTTGAGTTATTTTAGTTTCGTTCGGACTTGTCGCGATTGAAATTTCCTCTACGCATACGTGCGAACCGAGGGAATCCACTGCAAAGCTTCGGACACAGCTGTCATCATGGCATGGTTGGCATGGCTTTTCCAGAACTTGAATCATGACTTGGTGTGGCCACTACCTGAATTGCGAGAGATTGTGCAACATGCCGAGACCTGTATAGGTACCATGGTGCGAGCGGGTAGGTATTTCACCCACAACGAGTGGGTCGACGTCGTATCCTCGGGTCACTTGTTGGTTAAGCAGTGGTTTCGCTTGGCCAAGCAGGGTGTGGACAGGTCGCTTGTCTTTTTAGCAAAGGTAAGGCCGAAGGGGCATGCCTTGCAACACATGATCCAGTTTCTTGAGCTGTCGGAGTCTCGCGAGAACCCGGCCTTTTACAGCTGCTGGATGGACGAGGACAGTGCATGCACTGTAAGCCTGTAGCCCGAATTGCAAACATTCATGCTGCCAGGACTACGTGAAGAAGTTCCTGCGAGTCCAAAGAGTCTTGCACTACGGTAGCTGCAGTCTCACCATTTTGCAGAGAAGTCTCATCAACTGCAAGACCGCTTTCGAGGAGCTAGGGTTCTGAAAATGTTGCAAGCTTGCTGCCTGCACCTTTTTTGCAAGTCAAGCCATGCCAATGTAGCAGTCTGCATGTGCCATGGCATGTTTCCATTTGTGTTGCAAGTTGTTACTGCTTGTCATGGCATGGATTGCTCTGTGTATTGGGTATATAGAGTTTGCGATCTTAGGATAGATATATATCTACTATATTCGCAGTCAAGGCATGCCAAAGCAACTCAAGCCATGCCCAGCAAGTCAAGCCATGTCAAAAATACATAGTAGTAGTAGTAGTAGTAGTAGTAGTAGTAGTAGTAGTAGTAGTAGTAGTAGTAGTAGTAGTAGTAGTAGTAGTAGTAGTAGTAGTAGTAGTAGTAGTAGTAGTAGTAGTAGTAGTAGTAGTAGTAGTAGTAGTAGTAGTAGTAGTAGTAGTAGTAGTAGTAGTAAGTAGTAGTAGTAGTAGTAGTAGTAGTAGTAGTAGTAGTAGTAGTAGTAGTAGTAGTAGTAGTAGTAGTAGGAGTAGTCGTAGTAGTAGTAGTAGTAGTAGTAGTAGTAGTAGTAGTAGTAGTAGTAGTAGTAGTAGTAGTAGTAGTAGTAGTAGTATGTGGAGAACGGAAACCCAAAGGGGCAGCACGCACCCTCGTTTTCCGTCCAAGCAGAAAGTCCAACGACCGTGACAGGTCGAACGTCCGCCCAGGACGGGCTGCGCGCAATTGCGTCGCGGCAACGAGAAGCTACCAACGACACACTGCCGTGCTCACTTGAGCCAAAAATGTTATGAATACGAATTACAGAAGAGCATGCATAAAAGCATACAGCACAACAGCCAGCCCGCAGACTATGTACAGTTACATTCGCCCCTCAGCCGAGAGCACGATAGAGCCGTAGGATTCCGCGGGCGGCCGGAGGCCGTAAAACTGACCTACAGACCCTGCCCTCCTACAAACCCTTCGCACTCAGCACAAGACCTTCGTTTTTCACGGCCTGTGCTGCACGAGGCTCTGGTTTCCTACTGTACACAGCCTGCGCCGCACTGCGGCCACAGGGCTGGTGAAACGAGCAGCTGAAGCTGCGGCGTTACTCCACGCGCTTCGGGAGCACTACCGTGCCTCCCTAGCCGCTCCCGTCAAAGACCTGTAGAGCGGATACGCCACCCTGTCGTCTCATCGGAAAGCAGCTAGGTGCTGCGACCAAAACTGAAGTTGCCACAGGTGGCTAGAAGGGCGGAGCGCAGTCCGCGACTTCTAGTCCACGGTCACTGCGGCTCCACGTTGGGTTGCGCGGCGGGCTGCTGGACATTTGAGGGTTTTGCCCGCCCGCGGTGGTTCCGCTGAGGTGCTTCGAACTCCTCGAGCTTCAGCGCCTTGGACCACTCGGTGCCAAACGAATCTAGCCACTTTTGGCTAAATTCAGAGGTCAGCACACTGGCGACCGCGATGCCGACCTCCGCGTTGGCCCGTGAACTAGCACTAAAGTTTAGGCTTCCTATCACGGCGCTAACTGTGGAGTCCGGCCTCGTCACGAGCACCGTCTTGGCGTGGTGGATGCCCGCGAGGCCTGCGCCGATGCTCACGTCCGTGCGGTTCTCGGCGGCGTAAGCCGCCTTGACCGAGGTGCCCTTGCCGACACGGACCTGGACGCCAGCCGCCCCTAGCTCCTTGAGGGACTGCAGCTGGAGCTTGGTCCGGCTCGTCTGCGAGTTGTCGGCAAGCACGTGGGCTCGGGCGCCTCGCTCCAGCGAGGACACGAGGGCTCCAACCAAAGGCTTGCTATCGAAGCTGTAGGCTCGCACGTAAACGTGGTCCCCATGCCCAGCGTCCGATAGCATCGTTTGTACCACAGCGTGATACTCCGGAAGGGTCAGAAACTTGACCCCGGCTCGCTCGAAGCCGTCAGGGATCGGGAAGTCTCTGACACGCCGTGCCTGGCTCGACATGGGAGCTGTCGGAGCCGGAGACGCCGCAGAGGTACCCTGGCGGGAAGCCTCCGCTGCAGGCGTCTTCGGAACAGTCTCTGTCGGAGGCGCCGACACTGTGGCCACCTCGTGGCGGCCTCTGAGCTTGGTAAAGCCGTCAAGGCAACCCTCGGACGGGTTCCCGACATTCCGAGCTCTTTCAGAGAGCGATCTCGCTTTCGACACCATGCCGGCAAGGCACCCCTGTTCCAGGGCCGGCGCGCCGAGGATCGCACGGGCGCGTCTAGTCGCGGCCGGGGCGACGGACAGCGTTGGGGCAGCGCTCGCGCCTGTCATGGCCACGAGTTGCCCCGCAGCTTCAACAGCGCGTTCTATGTGACCACAACGTCCCTCGTTGAGGAATGCCTTGCAGTCGCAGCCTGCGCCGTCCGCGCCCGACCCGACCTTCACAAGAACCCTGTGTGCTCCGGCCTTAGTCTTTGATGCAACCTCAAAGACAGCCTCCCGGCCTTCGAGCGACACCAGAACAGCATTCCCAAAGGGGTTACCGTTCATGGCGTGCATTAGCCGGTTAGTGGCGACACGTCCGGCCCACCACAGCACTACGGCCGCGAACGTCCACAGTAGGACGACGGCCGTCAAGCCAACCACGCGGACACCCCGAACGAGGATACCAGAGGATTCCTCGATGAGGTCCTCCGCCGCAGTGGCAACTGCAGTGAGGCTCACGTGTGCCACCTCTCTGGCACCGCGCTCAACAGTGAAGAGGGTAGGCGCCAGCGCAGCGGCCACCAAACCCGTCTTCCATCCAATGTTGCCCGTTGTGGCGTGGGCTGCGCGATTGCGCGCTCTCCTGGAGAGAGCCCAGCTGGAGACCGCAGCGCCTATCGAGCGCACGGCCCCAAGGAACCCACCACGGTTCGAGGGCCCGGAAGAGACAGCGGGGCGAGAAGAAACGGCAGGGGCCTCGGGCGCCACTCTGTGGCCACCCGGGCCACGCAGTGGGAGCGTGAGGGCGGGCTGCCCAGCACGCTCGCCGAGTCGGGAGGAGTATGCCAGTCCGGCAGCACCTCCGGCCCACCATCCTCGGTTGCCGTAGCGGTTCGAGCTTCCCCTTCCACCACCTTTGCCACCACCCTTGCTGCCAGAGCTGCGGCCCCCACTGGGTGCACCGCGCCCGGAGGAAGGTTGGCTCCACCAGGCTCGGGCAGAGTCTTGAGAGAGCTCTGCCTGCCTGCGCTTTTCAGCGCGGAGCCTCTTCCGTCCGGAGCGGAGGAATTTCCTCGCATGCTCCGCAAGGGGATCGGCGTTGATGGAACGCTCGATCCGTTCCATCTTCGTGCCCTCGCTCTCTTCCGACGAAGAAGCAGCTTCATCGTCGCCTTCCTGGGGCGGCATGCCGTGGGTTATGAACGACGCGCCCGACTTAGGGCCACTGCACTTAAAGCACAGTTTGCGCCATAACATGTTCCTCTCTTGGCATGTGTCCCGCCCACAGGTCCAGTAGGCGTTGGACATTGCGGCGGCGATCGCGTCCGAACGCTTCGCATAAAGGTACTCCTTTATGCGTTCCTTATGTTCATCGAGCCAGACCTCGATGAACCACGCCGGCGCCGTTCGCAGGTCCACCGGCGTGCTCCAGTACAGGCTGTCCTCGAAGATCCCCACACAGGGGGCACCTCCGAGCTCCTCGGAATCATGGTGCCGGCAGGTATTGCGTTCTGGTGGGTTCGCACGCCCACAAGTAAAGCAATCCCACCAGCCCCAAGGCCAGACCTTGCCTGTGAGGAGCGGAACGCGCTCGGGTGTCGGTCCAAGCTCGTTTTCATCGTAATCGGGCCAGATTTCAAACACTGGCCTGTTCGACAAAATCGCAGCCTGGTAGACGAACGCGCGCCTCCGGCGCCGCGCCAACGCGAGGAGCTGCTCAAGCGTGTAATCACCCTCGCCACGAAAGAAGGCCTTGATCATTTCGTCATGTTGAAGATCAAGGGGGACCGTAAGTCTGGGATCCACATCGCGTGCGCCGGGCCTTCCAGGCCCCGGCGGTGGAGTCGCTTCCCAGTCCACGTCGCGCCAATCGGCCCCGGGAACCTCGTTCGAGAGTCCGTAAACTCCCGAAACTCGGTGTTGGGGAGCCGGCGACTCCATGGTATCCTGCCATGTTGTGAATCGCTTCTTGGGCGGCGGCGGTCCCTCCGGCTCCGCGGGTCGCCGCTTGTCTGTGCTCGACGAAGCAGCGGCCCCGCTGGCACCTTCTTCGGCACCTGCCTCGCCACTAGACGAGGGAGCCGCGCCTGTCCCGGCCGCGGCTCCTGCAGGGCCGGCTGGTGCCGAGGGCGACTCTTCCTTCTTGGTGGTGGCCCGCTTGGCCGCGGGGCCTTGACGCTCAGAGCCGCTCTCCTCAACGGCGCGCTTGAGGGAGGAGAGGGACTTAGCCTCTGCTGTCTCCTTTTCCTCCTTGGTCACTGCAGGAAGGCGGGTGTCGCG